TTTTGAAAACGAAACGTCGGATATAAAAACTAAAAATACCATCGTGTAGTACCTTGAAAGTGCCAATGAAAAAGTGTTATTCGTTTTTTGATATCTTTTCAAATAAAGTCAGAAAAAAATAAAATTGATATTGTCAAATTCTCGTTTTTCCCAAATATCTCAGCAGGCCATGAAAATTCTTCAAGTTTCTAAACGGCATGTAAATAAGCTTTAAAGAACACAACTTTTTCCTAATTTAACCTAAGCTGTATCTCCAACAGGTACTGAGATTCCCATGCTCAGGATCCTTATCTTGGACACACTGTATATATATGACAAATTTTCGTCAGTAGAAAAGTTCAATTCTAACACGATTTGTCATCTTCACTTTATGATACTGTTGGAGTTGGGTGCTAAAGAAGGCGACAAACAAAATCAGAATGTTAGTTTGCATAAATTCGAAAGTCAGTCACATAAAGATGACTGAGTTATAGTTGTGACCGATATAATTGGAATGAAAACGTTTTTTCTGAGTTTCTTTATGGTATTTTTAAGTACATGTTCATGATTATTTCGCCAAATTTGTTGAAATTAATTTCTTGATAATTCAGTTATATCGCATTTATACTTATTTATTCATATATTCTAACATTTGATGGTGCCAAAGGTCAACGGTAAAATATAAAACGATATACCTCCTTTTATTTATCATTATTATGTCGTTATTGGATGGGCTTATTTGAGCAACTATGTTTTCTGCAAGACAGATATATTTTACATTCAGAGTACCTAGTATAAAATTAATATGTCAGATTAATGGATTGGAGAACTTCGAAGGTGAAAAACATTATTCTACTTCAGCTCTGATTTCAATAAAAACTCCACCACGAGCATTTTCCACTGAGAGTATTTTGCGGTAAGTTCATTATCATCAAGTCCTAAAATATTTTCATCAAAGTGAGTAAAAATTCAAAGAAATAGGATATCTGGCATTTTTATAATTATTCTATTCATCAAAAACTATGAACAATTTTGTTCAAGTTCAAAGTCAGCTCTCACTTTCAATAATTATGGCCATTGACATTTTAGTAGATGGTGTTTCAAGAAATAATTCGTCCAAAGCATATGAATATTTTCAAATCACTTGAAAAAGCTAATGTCTTAGCGAAACATTTTGTGATATATTTTTCAAATAAAGTTTGTGGAGATCAAATCGTTGAGGTGTAGTTTTTGAAATTACTATGGATCTCCATCAAGTTAAGGGCCGAATCAATCAGAAAAAAAAGCATGTGAATATCTCACAATAGAGTAAATTGGCTATCATGATCATTGTATTCAACTACCTTGAAATATTACTTGTCTAGTACCCACAGGTAATATTTGAACAATCATCAGAGGGGACAATAATAAATCAATTGCAGGTTTTGATCGAAACGGAAACTAAGTTGGCTGTGATATCACTTGTTTTTTCTAGTCCAGAAATAAAATTAAAATAGAGAATTTATCTAGTCGAAGCGGGGATGATTCTGCAACGTTACATGGCTGACGGACTGCGAATAGTCATGATGCTCTCTAGGTGGCTCGGGGAGTTATTAACAATGAATACCCAGGACACGAGGCTGATGCCCAATGTAGTCATTGCCGATGACACCCCAAAAAAATATTGAACTCTGTTCAACATAATCACTATTGTAAAATGACTACGTTTTCCACACTTCTCGAAGTAACTTCAAACGCATTATCAATCATAACTATCAGGGAATTGGCGCAGTGTTAAGTGCAGACTTCCGAACATGGGGTTTATAGTTCGAATCAGATTTCGACTAGAGATCTGATTGAAGAAGGGTTGCTTCTGTTACGTTACACGGTTGACGAGACTGCAAATAGCCGTTATAGTACAGGATCCCGCCGCAAAATCACTACGTTCATAGCGTAGTTAATCAAACTCAAATTTTTACATACATTTATGAATAGGAAAATACATTTATGAAAGTCAAAGAGTGGCCTCCATGTTCTTTCTAATTAATCAGTAGACAGTTGTCCTGAAAATCTTGTGAAAAAAATTGCATTGGATAATTTAGGGAACACTAGCTACATGAATAGCATTTACAAGTATTGTTCAAGACGAGCTTTTAACGATGAACGAGAACAAGAATGTTTTCTACTTATTCACCAAACTCAAACACCTGTTCATGCAGCTGCAGTTTCGTAAGAATGTATCATTTCCAAATACGCAAAGTTGCATGGATGCGTATTAAGCATTTTACCTTAGTAAGGTGACCAGAGGAAACTTGCAACCTCAGCATATGAATTTTTATAAATATAGAGGAAAGTCAAGATCAACAGAAAGTATTGAGAATTTCATTCAGTATCCATTGATCATTCTTCAGAAACGGTTCCAGAGCATTTTAAGAATGCAGCATATCATCTTTCCACCGTTCCTGTTGGGTAGCAGTATAATGTTAGTTTTTTGGTGATTCTTTGTATCTTTCTTAACTATTTCATTAACTACCCTCAGCGTAATTTTTTCGTTTTCATCATAATACATATTTCATTCAGTTTTAAATAAGTTATTTCATCATTTGGATGAAAGAGGGTTGGTTGAAACAGCGATAAATCCTCTTGTGATGAGCAAAGCGAGTACTGAGTTCGACAATACAATAAAACCCTTACATTTATTCTTCAAACTTCAATCTGAAATGTTATTAATATCTTTTTGGTGATATGTCCAGTCTCGGACTGTTTTAAAAAGTTTAAAATCATCAACAAAAAGAAGACAATCTATATATTTCAGAACTGACGGTAAATCATTGATGCAATGTATAAAAAGAAGTGGACCTAGATTCGATCCTTGTGGTACACATGACCTAGCTAGAAATTCATCTGAAATTTATGTTTGACAATGAAAAACCGATTTTGAACATAATTCTCCGTTAGTTCCATTTTTTTCATTTCATATTTACACAATTATTATGAAATTTGTTTTCAGATTTCTTATACTTTATTTAGTTTCCCCGATATAGCCATTGTAAATACATACATACATATAGATGGAGCTGAAGAAGTTTTACTTCAGTCGTGTGGTTCAAAGCACACTCGCTTTTTGTAATTAAAAATATTTGCGGCCACATTTTGACTGGTACCCTGTTGTGAATGTATTCTCCTATTCACAAATGTATGTAAAAATCTGAGTTTGGTTAACTACGCTATGGACGTAGGGATTCTGCAGCCGGAATCCTAGACTATTATGTTTTATTTTATATTAACATAGTCTACTCAGAATACGACATTAATGATGTTGATAGTTGATGCTATTGATACAAAAAAAAAAACTGAATCGAGTGAACTAGGCACAAATTGAGAACATAACATTTCATCCTTCCATGTTGCACTCGGTCATTATTCTACTTCAAAATCATTTTTGAAGTGGAGGGGGGGGGGTAAAGCGCTTCGTTACCTAAGGCGTTACAATGCCAGTCTGTCTGGCTTCCCTTTCTCTTCCGCAAACGTCAGCGGAAGGCAGGCTCCTTCTCTCTAAACCAAATTAATTAAAAACAGTAACTACAAAACTTGTAGAAATTGGTAATTAGTTTATTTCATGTCCATTTAATGAGTCGTGTGAAAATTTCTTTTGTAATATTGAAATTATTAATTATTTTCCATCTGAACTTAAACTACCATTTCCCCAGATCACCGCTAGAAATGTAGTATTGATTATATTTTTAATCAGCATAATAATTTAATTAGTAAAAGTAATTATATTCCTTTTAACACAAATACTGCTCCACATAAAACGCGTTGTTTCACCAACTAAGTAAAAGTCATCATGAGATGAACTGTACGACATAGATACTAGTCAGAGGTTACAAATCTCAATTTCAGTTATTGAATAATCCTGTAAACAGAAATGACATCTCCCCTTACGAAGAAGCCATTACCGACCAAGCATCTTCAGTTCAGACAGATTGGAGCCGAGATCCCTTACCCTTGCGGCTGATTTTTGTCAGAAGGACAAATGGGTTCATGACTAAGAGGTGGTGGCGGTATGAAAATCCTCAGACATCAGTACCGCCCTTCACGGTGTACCCCTATCTGGCTGGGGGGATGGATGAAAAATTTGTTCATTCGTTAACGGGGAACATGAGGGTCTCATTCGACAGAGTGTCGGGGCATTCTATATCGGAAGGGGTCATCTACAGTATAATCATTAGCTTCCCTAACGGGTTTTCGTGAGTTTCTACACAATCAAAAACTCACCGATTCCTCGACTTAATGGACTGCTTGATGGAAGGCAGCTGCAAATCTCTGCAGAGCAGAGCATTGCAATTCACAATTATCCGTATTAGCTTATTTTGATCCGACCCTCGATCTTTGCCTTCACGGTTGTGACGGGCGGGTTCCAGGTGAGCCTACGGTCTATCAAAAGGCCGAGGTTCTTTACCCACGCTTGCCAGTCGATCTCCCTTCTAGAGATCCTCACATTTCTGGCCGAAGAAGATATCGTTCTTCCCATAGTTATCGCCTGAGTCTTTTCCGGGTTCACTCGGATCTTCGATTCGAGGTACCAGCACTCGAGGTCGTCCAATGCACGTTGCATGTAGACGATCCCGAAATCCCGACCCATGGAGGATGAGGGAAGAGCCGTGTCATCGGCGTAAACGTAAAGAGATATCTTCACACGCTCGGACCTCGGTAGGTCACTGGTGTAAAGAGAGTACAGCGTGGGAGAGAGCACATCATCAAGGCTCTACTCAAAGTTTGAGTAGAGCCTTGATGATGATAGCACGACCAGCTGTCGAAAGCGCTCGCATATAATAGGAGGTATAAAGCTTCAAATCCTTTTTGTGGCATATATTAATATTAATATATATATTAGAAAAAGATTAATGCAGTCAAGCTGGTGGAAAATAATTCCATATTGATTTATATCTAAGAGCCACCGATAAACAGCTGTTTCAGCCTGTTGGGCATCGTCAGTACCGGACAGGCGG